GTGCTTGGCGCGTGGGTGCGTGTGTGTATGCGAAATTTTCAGGGGCCACTTCATTGTGCTTTATAGCTTTGACAGACTTCTGATTACGTATAACTAAGTTAGAAGTCAAAAAGTTATTGAGGAGTAAAAAATAATGTTCTGTCTGTTACTATGCCTTTCATGGATGAAATGCCCTCTTTTAGGTAATTGCCTTGCACACGTATAACGTGATGTATCATTTCCAGTCATTTGTTGTAAAAGTGAATTTTTAAAAATTAATCAGTTACAAATTGTAAGAAAAAAATATAGAATATTTTGAGTGTTGTTTAAATTTGATGTTAGAAACCCTTATTCATGTGATAAATAAGTTTGGAAAAGTTTAGTAATACCTATTTCGAATAAATCCCATTCCTCTTGTCTCTAATTGATAGGCTTCTAAAAACAAAAATTTCTCCTTTTAAGTGAGCTTGAGCATTGCCGTTGAAAACAAAGATACAACCACAATAAGTACATCAATTTAAGCGCACAACTTATTTAATGCAGGTTCAATGAAATGGGAAGCAGTAGGTCGTAGTGAAGGTCTTGTATTATTTTACCCTGTTGCGGTTACGCTTAGCTAGAACCTAACTTGCTCATATAAGGATTCTCCATTTCTTATTTAACTTACCTAAGATATCTTTCTCATTTCCTAAAAGTACATTAGATGAAAATTCATCCTGATGAGGTTGAAATAGCTTTTTAACGGTACTCTTGAGGACACAGTCCTAGGTTACATCATGACAAATCAAAAGGATCTGTTTAGTTGGTTATTAATAAACGCAGATCGAATAGTAAGATGGTGTCAAAACTTTTTAAATTAAAATTCCCAGTCTTATGGTTTATCAGATTGAACCATGAAAATAGGCAACCTAGCAAATCATGCAAATATGAGGCGAGATTAAAAAAGTGGAAGCTTTGATTAAGTCGAGGCATGAATTTTTTGCCTAACAACGTCACTATAAATCAGAGGTGGTTATACATCAAGGGCTTTGTTTTAATTATTAAGAGTGGTACTTTTATATGCAATAATTCGGTCGTTTGTTTGGCTGATAGGCTTGGCAAAGGAACCACTTTAGGACTCTGTCAGCTTACCTCGGCTGGGTGGCCTGGTGTCCAGGTCATGCCAGTAGCTTCCTGTCGAATGTATGTATTCTACCCCAGTATTGTGCCCTCCTTCGTCTTCAGAAAAGTCTTAGAGTGCTACATACCTACGTTATTATAAAAACAACTGTTGGAAGTAGAAGGCAAATTTGCCCCTAATAACTATCGAGAGGTTAAGTTTAAGATGATTTCACAAGTTCTTCGATTTTAAACTTTTAAGGATTTGCAAGTAGAGGTGATCAAAATCCTTTCAAAAACAAGATATCTCAGTATCAAACCTAAACGTTCCTGTCTGAGGACCCCAAAAATTTTGCCAGGTAATTGGTAACGACCATAATATTCCAACAGAGTAATAGCTGCGTATTTGTGATCAGTTCAGTGAAGAAATATTCACACGTTTTCTCTTACCTCCATTTTAGTGTTACACAAAACTGCAGCATTTAGATAACCTATCAGCCTAGTATTGCTTTCGGTTTGAGTTCAGCATATTATACAGGGTGATATCATCTGTTGCCCTGCTAAAAGAAGTCATTTTTCTTGGGTAGCAGGTTTTGTCTTTGTTAAGTTATTTTTTATATCAGATTGCAAATGGAACACGTTCATACGCGCTTATTTTTTGCCAATTTTTAGCGCTGCCTCAACTGATATAAAAACTAACGGTTGTTAACATCGAGCTTTTTCAATACAAAAACGTGTAAACTTCTGGTCAACCATAAAATTCTACCATACCTGCTGTTTATGGTTCTGTACTCTTCTTTATATTTCTGTGTACACAATCAAAGGTTTTCATTAGCGTTCGACCATGGAAAACCTATTTACAAATAGGTTTGAAATAAATTCGCATGCAACTGCTTAATGCTTTCTAACAAGTAGGTGCTGCCAGTTAAGAATCTTCATTCTTGACATTATAATTGTCAAAAAACGCGGGGTTTTTCTTATCCATTGCCAGTGTCAGTACTTTACTTGGGAAAAAATAATGCCAAATCTGTTCACATAATAGAAATAGAAGTCCATTCCGTCATTTTGCAAGTAATTTAGTTGCTGGAAATCCTAGTGTCCATATCTTGCCAGCTGCCTCGACTTTTATTTGGCGGACTTAAGGTTGCGACCATGACCTTCCCTTGCATTATACTTGGTGACCAAAACACCTTACTATATTGCTTGTAATCGTTTTAGAGTTATTACCGATATTGCGAATTCTTTTATCATTTTTAAAATATCTGTTTGCACCAAGATGAACTCTTAAAGGCTCGGGGCTAAAATACATAGTTTAGAGCCTGACCTCTATGCGGGCTCACGGACACGTGATGCTTGTGGGTTGGAAGTTGGATCGCAATGCATGCACACACATACACACACTGTTTTATTTAGCATGCGAAACCATCTGCATCATCACGACCTTAATAGCATGCCCCTGCCTCTGAGTCATATATAGTTTGTGCGTAATTCAGCATGAATTACTTATCCTATTCCCTTATCAAATAAACCGACAAGCAGATGTTTTTTTAATTCTCGTTTTATCCATGTTATATATTAGTACTATTTATGAAGGGAGGCTTTACTTTTTATTTTTACCACAACCTGAAATTTTGGCCTTTGGGAAAATTTGACGGGAGTTGAACTGATTGCATGAGCCCGTGTTTCAATAGAGCTAGTTTGATAAAGTAATATAATAAAGCTTTAGTTTTAGTCGAACTCTCCTCTGCCATTGGCTGTCTGCATGACACATGTGAAGCATTAGTTGCGACAAATTATTCTTTGATCAGGCCGGTTGCATTAATTTCTACGCTTCCGCTTTCATGTATTTTTCAAGGACCTAGAGAGTAACTTATTAATTTGTAAGTTTTGGAACAGCAGAAAAATGTCCCATTGTTTACCTAAATAATGCTTTTAAGCATTGTCGGGTTTTGGTTCTAAGAATTTTGCCTTGCGATCGTCGAAGGCAAGTATAACAGTTTCGCCCAAATTCGCGTCAATGTTTGAAACAAATATAACAACAACTGGAAAGCTAGGGTATGATATCATCCTGTGGGGAGGGTTATCTTCAAGGTATGTGAGCTTTTATAGTTCAGTCGGTCATATGAAGTGTAATTTTGGCTGATATTGTTAAAGTCGTCAAAAGCGAAGTCAATCACTGCACTTTGCAAATGTACTCTACTTAAGTAACATAATTCAATCTTATCCTCCGCGAACCTTCCAGCAACGTGCCTACGACTGAAATTCAACGAACGTTCCTCTAAAGACCAAAATAAATGTGTTTGCCTTACGAAATGGTTAGGTGAGAGAGGAAATGAGCAAATCCTCCTCTTTTGCTTTTTGCTTGTCACTATGATTGATATTGCCATTTCTAATGGAGACATTAAATATCATTACTTACCAACTGTTAAATAAATATTAGATGTTGTTTTCTAATGCTTATAGCACTCAACAACGATCTTTTGGTGGACTTATTAGTACATTACATGGACTCTCCCATGATGCAAAATAAACATATTGTAGAATTAAGGGACGATACCTAACCGTGAACATGAATACTTTGAAAGGGTGATACAGAATTATAAATATATATCTCTAGCTAACTGTTAATTTCAAATAAGTTTGATTAATAATTTGTATAATTAAGACCAAACTTTTCGTGTTTTGGACACATTTTTGAGTTTTCATCGCCAGTTGCATATTTTACCTGATTGTCAGTTTAAGAGTGAGCCTTATTTTTTTAATGTCTTGTCAATTGTATGATTTTCTGTCAGTCAAGCAAGTTATTCCTTCCACCATCAAAGGATAAAAAAAATTAAATTTGCGTAAAATGTGTCATTAATCAAACCGAAAATGCGGTTTCGGCTAACTTCTGCTTTTTTGCTATCTTTACAAGTATACTGATCCCACTGAACTAGCGTCAGCGCGCATAATTGAGCACATTCCGAGTGATTAATTTTCGGTGCTGCGCATTGAGAAAAGCACTCTAGCTATTTTCTAGCAATTGCTTTGTTGTGGATGCATGAACACTTCAAAATCTGAGCTTATAAATACGCAAAGAATTTAATGGGCTGTCAAATTGTTGAGTTAATGCATATTTTCCCCTAATGGTAAGAATTATTTGTAGGGACGACTAAATGGTCTCTATATCGTTGATCGAATATAACAAATTTGTTTTAGAAATGAGTTAGTGACGATGGATCACCTTTAGTTCCTTACAATTTGCCCTTTATTGGCTTTGTTCACCTTTGCTTTAATGCATAAGCTTCAGCGCACATTGTTTACTAACTATTGAAACCACTTTATTTGTAATTTGTCTACTTTTCTTACAATTTCTAAATATTTATAACTCCGAAATTATTTTTTTATACTTTTGGTGATATTGCACTTTGTTCCAAACCAATGAATTGTTTTAAGCACTGTAACATTTGAGACAAACAAATATATGGTGCTAAACCCGGAAGACGTTCTATTGTTATACGAACAATTCAGTCCTAAAAAATTCATGACGTCTTGATTCTGATACAAACATTGCAAATGGTAATAATTAGCCGTACCCATTAGTATAGCACATGACCGCTACCATATAATCGCTACTCGGACTTGAGAAAATAAGTAGCAAAGTTGAGTACGCGCTCATTTCAGCTCTTCACTTGAACCTGTTAAAATACAGGTAGCTCGACCTCCACATCCTTCTTCTATCCAAAAAACTAATTGTTCCCACACGAAGTCAGTCCTTAAATGAGTAGCACCAATACAATACCCAAGACATACACTCGATATCTAAACAACTAGACGAATCTATAATCTACATTTGTTCTTTGGTTTTGTGAAGTGTTTTTTTAGTTAAGGGACTGAAGTTATAAGTTAATTGATTCACATGATGCGTATAAACAAATGGCGAGATGCGTTGCAATGAGGCTTTTGTGAACACGCGGTATTACTATCATGAAGGGTTTGCCTTCTGCGGTGAGAATGTGGGGCGTATGCAAATTAGTAGTGAATGCAGGCGCTGTCTGCCCTGTGATGAAAAATTTGAGGACAATTATAAAACATAGTAAGGAAATGTAATAACTCTATACGACTTAGCATGAATTAGCATTGTTAAACCTCTGGATTTGCCATTATGGAAGGATTCCCTTGGTGCGGATTGCTCATATTTCTGGTACCTTGGGAGTGCCTAATTAATATCAGCTTTTTATGTAGTTCAGATGCATTTGAATTTTCACACAATAAATCTATCCTAACGCAAACAACTGAATTAGTTTGTTTAAACACAAACAAAACCCTTGTGAGGAACAGCACCATCACGATTTCACAAAGATATCTGACTGAATACTTTGCGTACGTCCCAATGTGGTGAGTGTCTCAAGTATTGTCTTTTTTCCGCAATGTAAACACTGTTGCTATTACACAAAAATGAATTTAAGATATAAATGTTCTATTTACACCTTAAATTGATTAATTGAGTCCTGTTGTGCTGTTTTATCTGTCCACTTATTGTATTTACGCTTCATGGGTTTCGAAATATTTCTGCACTGTTCATCAATCGACGGGAATGAATATTAAATCGCGATCCATTTAGCATTTTAAGGACATCATTTTTAACAGTCTTAACTCATAAAATGTACTCTACCAGAAATCACCTTTACAGTAACACATGATCAGATATGGTAAATTTGTCTTATGCTCTACAAGATTTTAAGTCCATTTAAACGTTTGAATTTTCTATAGGTTAGTTTAACACTTTAAGCACCACCAAAATGTCGCCCCAACATACCACCTTCGGTATTGATGCACTCCAACGACAATCTTATGAATGAAACCTGCACGGAGGAAGGAATTCGTTATAAATTTTTTCAAATGGTCTCATCATGTAGCTTGGCAAAATAAGTGATCATAAGGCAAACAGCGGTTCACTGGGGCTGTTGCAGTGCGATATGTCTTGTTTACAGAATGCAATGTTGACTACAAGGACCAATGGTAAAATATTTGCAACAACCTATTTCGTTAATTTAAGTTTAGTGCTTCATCTTTGCACATTGGCCTCGGTTTAAAGTATTTATGGAATGCGTGAGCTGAAAATGGGATTTTTTTTGGAAGTAATGACAACGATACTTATTAGAAAGGAGAGATTCTATTCTTTGGCGTCGGTTTCTTTTAACTGTTTTAGTCTTTTCATCCATTTGTGTACCTATAATGTCTATTTTGACAGGTTAACCATTTGAACTTCCATAAGTGTTTTTGTCCTCTTGTGCTAATGCTCCGGCATTCTCTGATCATTTGACAAATGTCAAAAAAGGCCTGTAAAATTTCTACAAATGCTCACCAAAATACGAGTATAAGTAGGCAGTCGGGGAGAAAAATGCACTTTACAGCCCCTGTTAGGTGGGAAATTTCAATAAAGCCCTAAAGCATTCTATTTAACTTTCTAATAATTTGATAAACTTTTAATTTTTGTGCTCTTCTAGACGTATTTTTAATTTAAAAACTGTTAAAACTAGGCTTTAGGCTTTTTGGTATTTTTGCCAGTATCATCAAAACGCTGGTTGCTAAAATTTCAAACCAAGTTTGTCAAGGGCTTCAGTATTTTAATGTGGTGGTAGCAACGCCAAAATGCGGTTGGGTCATTTCAAGTTGGTATTCTCCACAGCGAATAACGCAATAGCGCAGATTAGATCTGAACTTTTTTGTAGGGCTATTTGGAATGTTGAGACACGAACTCCTCGCCTAAACATCGTTTATTGCATTATTTTCTTAAATGCTTCTTAATTTTTTTACGGCTTAAAATGTATTATTTAGCAGAGACTACGATTCCAAATTCGATTCACTTTCTCACTACTTCGGTTTTTTTCATTTTTTAAATTTGTTTTAAAAGAATGATGTGCTTACATTCGTGACATTATGAACTTATTAATATTATAATTTCTCATTGATGATTCTAGCAAATAGCTAGTGGTAGAACCACCGTCTATTCATATTATAGACTAGTGGAAGGCGTTATTGTAAGACAAATAATGAGTTATGTGGTAGATTTCATTTATAGACAACGGAACAGCCCAATCACCCATTGTGCTAAGCTGTAGTTTGCGTCACAGGTAATGCATTGAAAAGTTATATTTGTTTTATTTATTTTCAGCAGTTTATCGTCATGCACACCAGCACATTGTTAGCCATGCGACACCCACCCAATAAATAAACAATTTTTGGCTTATTTTTGGTTGTCGCATGATCCGAGAAGAAGGCTAATCTGGACACTACTTAATCATCAGCTGATGATATTTTTATGGTAGGCTTTAATCTGCGCGCATCACTTTGCAACTAAACATTGTTTCATGTGATTCGCTTTGGGTTTAAATTATGATTTATTGCCGTCTGCTTCGATGAAAATGCTATTTATTCAGTGGTATAGGAATGTCCCTCAGGTACAAAGCGCCTCTGCACTTCTACAACCAAATTGGTACCCAGATAAATCATCAAGCCAGTCGTGCAAATAGCCACGTCGTCGAATCATATATTAACAAAGAGTGAGGCTTACACGTTATCCACAAATGTCTTGAGCACACGGAAATGCTAGCACCAGTCAGTCCGAATACCAAATCAACATGTAAAAACATACGGTAGAGGGAAAAACCAAAACGGATTAGCATTGCGAAACCTCACTGTCAAATTCATTCTTATCAGCATCATCGTGTGGGAGCATTTCTGACTCATAGCACTTTCAAATGTTGCAGCCCACAGGGGAGTATCGTTCCATCAAATAGTATTGTAGGGGATGGTTTTCATGGCAGTTTAGGAAAAGAACGAGCAGATTTACTGTTCACTTTTTCAGTGTCAAAATGACTAACCATCTAGCAGAAAATAACTTGGATCTTTACTGTAATCTTCTTCTTTAAAACCTCACAATATTCATCTGATGGTTTTGAAGAAAGTTTTCTCGCATTTATTCTGAGCTTAGGCTGCTGTTTTTTGTTGCAGACATGCACCGAAGACTGGACATAGACAAATAGAAGTATACTTTAATATAGATTTTGAATACGGTTCCAATTAATTATTTAGACCCTATTGAAACCATTATTTAGCAGTATTAAGTGAAATTTCGGCATTCGTTCAAAAAGTGCGGAAAAAAAGCCTAGTTTTTATGCTCCTCGATTTTGAAATCTAACACTCTATAGGATCCTGATCACCTTATTTGTAAAATTCACATTTGTTTCCCTTGTGTTTTAAAAGACCTCCAATTTAAATGACGCAACATGACCGACTTCAAAATATGATGTGAGGAGCTTGGCAACACTGTGAAACAATGTGTTACATTTCTGTGAGACGTGGTGTTATAAACCGGATTTTCAAAAACCTGCTGCAAAACTGATTTCACCGTGATTCTGGTTTATTTGGATCTACGAAATGTGTACATGACAGCCTTCGTGACAGTGTGTGGTGCATTAATTTAACTGTCGTAGGCGGTACAGGAGGGGCTATCCCATTATCCATTAACCAACAATCATGACTAAGTGTGTGTAAAGGCAATCACATTAAGGAGAACGTTCATCTCTTTTTTGGAATTTTCAAATTAACTATTGCATCTCAGATCGTGCATTAACTGACACATGAAATAAAAATTGCGTGAAACTGAGAAAGATTAGTATAATACCATTCTTAAAACAAATAGCTAGGAACAGACAAAAAAAGTAATTTTAGATCTCTATTTTTGGGAGTTCTTTTGTTTTTGGCCTAATTAACATAAAATTGAGGAAGAGAGTAAATTAAGGTCGGTTACTTGCTCTTTATATGACTAAAATTCAGTCGGTTAGTTTCTCGAGGAAGCTTTTCTATGTACAATTGCAATCTGAATTACACAAAGTGTAAAATCAAACACTAAGTAGGTGCGTGGTTGTTGCAATTTCCGAGATTTTACTCTAAGTTAGTGTGCTGAAATAAAATTATATTAGTTTCCCAAAATGACTTTCCCAAGCAATAAAATTAGTTTCTATGATGTCAACATAACCCCGAAATACCTGAAATTTTAGTTCCCTTGTTTACCACCATGATTTTGTCTGGAAATTGATTGGTTAGATAAACACCGAGAATATCGTGTAACAGTATTCCATTCATTTAAATCCAACTCAAATAATAAGCCAAAAAATAAGAATTGTCAAATTTACCCTCCCTAAAAGCCCTCAGTAAAACTTATCTGACTTGACAACAACTGTTAGAGCGGCCTACTGACACTTCAGCACGAATTGCAATATTTTCTTGGTACGGAACTTCCTCAATAACCTCACGATAGATGCTACTTCTTACTGACCTGAGTGCTGCTTTGTCAGATTGTATACTCCCTAAGACCATTGACTTGATTTCTTCACTTTCATTATTTTAAGTCAGTAAAATATTAGAAGCTTTTTTGCTTACTATGTAGAGGTTTTCCCGAAGCAATTCATTCATCATATTCTGTGCTGAACTTGTGGACTAAGAGAGGCTCGATTCTTACCCAATTGCAGTACCAGGTAAACTCATTAACATTCGAGACAGAACTGGTTATCCACTTAATTGTGTATTCCATTTCGACAGAAAGCCAAGCTAGTTGGTGGTGACACCAGATTTGTAGAGCATCCCTCTGCGTTAACAGAATCCCAACCAGCACACTTTAAGATTAAGTCCCTCAATTAAAACATGAACACTTCTGAAGCACAGATTTTTTGACGTTCTAGGCTACTTAAACCTCTATTTTTAATATAACTTATTTAAGTTGTTAATAAAGCAAAATACTGTAATACTTATGTTGTTTAAATGCTCCTTTCAGAGAGGAGGTGGGCGGCAGTCGAATTCAATCTCGTAACTGAGGTTCGGTCAACATCCCCCAAGCCAGAGAAGCGTCTCGGTGTTCAAATCTCCCCAAACTTTTATCCATCCCCATTTGCGCTTAGCAATAAATATGTCAAAATCTAATCAATCCTAGTGTTCTAAGGGTATGAAGGCCAAGGAAGAGGTGATAAACTCCTCATATTTAGGAAATTTAAACAATAATATCTTGTCGTAGCCGGTTGAATTGTGTTACTAATTTAAAAAAGTGCTCAAATAATAGATAATATCCACATTATTTTATAGCGCTAATATCTTATTTTATAGATGATATTTTATGATTATTTAATGAACTCATTGTTACTATTCCCTCCTCTTCTTTACTGCAACAATTCCTTTCATCATAATTTTAACTCTTTTTAGCATTGCTCTGCTTATTGCGTTTCAATGAAATAAACTAGTTAAACATTTTCTAATATAGGGGGAGTATGACAACAAGTACAAAATCTGATGATTTATGCCGGGTTTTTTAATCTAATCAGACGTGTTTTCATGTCTGTACACCAGTTATGGATGCGTTAAACCTAAATTTTTCCTGCTATTCTCTACCATAGACAAACTCAGGTGTTTGTTTTGAGATTTTAAAAGGATTAGACTTCCAATTTCACGTTGGCTTTCATCTTTTACGGGTCTGAAGGGGGAGTATTTCAATGAGGCTGACTGTCGAGTTTTTCTGATATTAACAAAGTTGCGAGGCAAATCTTTTCCTTTTGAATTTCTCTGTTGTGTTTTCGGGCCATGTGAATGTTATTTCACCGCTATCTTAGACTAAACCATCAAAATTTAAAAGGCGCTGATGGAAGGGCTAAAGCTGTCAGGCTTTTATTTTTCGAGGAATCCTAACAACAGATTTTGCACTCTTGTTAAAACTCCCTTGTCACACGACGCATACTTATCATCCATATCTGCAGCGAGAATAATATTTTAATTCCCAAATCACTAAGGTGTTTTTCGACAACCTTTTATTGTAAACAGTGTTGTAATTATTGAAAATCTACCGAGGACTTAACCGAAAAACATTTTAATCAATTAATATACACGTATGCATATAATATAGTTATGCTCGATACCGAACTTATCCATGTTACAACCCAATGGTGGCTTATTTTTTCTGTGATTTATTGTGTCTGTCGGAATCATTCTTCTCAAGCATAATGATTTAAGCGAAATGCCCCAACACTAGTCTTTGATTGTCAATGTTTGAAAGAGTTCCCAAGTTTCCTAGGTTAAGAGAGTCCACCAGTGTTTTCATCGGCAGTAGGATCGAGGATTTGTTTTCAGTTAAGGAGATAAGTAGTTTAGAAAAATCATGCTAAAAAAATAAATAACACATCAGAATATAGTTAAGTGGGGTTGTATATGCACGTGGTTGTGTCAGGAACAAACTACCCAGGCTACCTCAGGAAATTTAAATTGTAGTAAATTTAAGATATGGTTACTCCAATTTCGGACACTGCTAAAATAATAAGACATTTTAAAACATTGCCTACGCTTTGTCGAATGCCTCAGTGCTTTAGAAGCCGCATTTCAGAATAGATAAAACCATCCCATGAAAACAGTAGGGTAAAAATCTACACGCTTTTCTGCAAACTTTGCACACCGAAAGAGATTTTCGTTGGTTTGGATGAAATTCAGTTTAGAAAATATTCATTTGTCTTATTTATATTTTGGGAGAGACGGCATGAATGGGATATTTTAATGTGCCTTCAACTTAAATCAGATATTTGTATAATTAATGCAAATGTATAACAAATTGATTTACTAAATATCTGTGATAAAAATGTCACAACCCGCTAACGATGTGGACGTTAAAGATCCTGCCTTATGTCCCAAGGCCTGGCCTATTTGCAATGGCCGAGATGAACACAGCTTTTTTAATGAGAAACATAAAACCTATTTAAGGTTGTAAATACATAATTGGTTGAAAAGTCAGTTGTTTTGAGTACCCATTGCTTCATTCTGAATTATTTTATATCCCATTGTTTGGCTTTTAGGAAATATATAATTTCATTTCATGGAAAATAATAATTTACTGAATAACCGAAGTCATGACTCAAGTGCGCATAGTTGTCAGTAATATTTTTTATTAATCTTTAAAATAATTTTCAATTTACAAGATAAAAGTACCCACAAGTCTCTGATGAAGCCCTTCTTGCTTTGTTGCTCGATAACCTAATTGTAATGAATAAGGTGAAATTCGGCTGGTGCATAAATTGTGGCGACATGAGACCACTTTAGTTTACTGCTTCGAAATTAGATTTTATTTTCAGCATACTTTCCTGCACACGAATGACGAAGCCCACCGCAGCGGGAATGCCGAGGGTTTCGACCCACTTGGCGATTGCACCGACTCCAAAAAAGTTAAGTTGGCAGTTGGTAAGGGGGGCCGTTACTTGAAGGTGCGAGGATTCGCAGCCTTTCGTCTATATTAATTATCATAGGCCAAATATGAATCCCCAGCCAACGTCCGGTCCTCTAATCCATAGTGGTTGACCCACACGACAGGGTGAACCAACGACTTCTAAGCCAAAATGGCTCGGGCCTCTCCCTTGACCTTACTAGAATTTTCGTGCCTATTCCGTTACAGCACCTCCACGCAAAATCCAATCTGCGCGATGACGGCAGCGCACAGAGAATATCTAACGCCTCAGGCGTCAGTCATAATCGTTAACACCCCACTGTTAAACTAAGCAACGAAAAAACGGACGACCGAGAAACGACGCCACCATAATCACCATATAAAACTTTTATTTGTGGCAATCGTAATATACAGTGATAAGATGGCTTGTAAAAAGAGCAATAGACTTAAGTATTAATGCAGTGGCACGTGGTGGTGGCGGAGGAACGGGGTGATCGAGTATGTAAGAGGGAATGTATACTTGATTTTGTAGACACAAAAATAAGGAAGGTCACTTGTTGGGAAAAGTCACCAGCCACCGGGTGCCCCTACACCAGCTGCGTACTCACTTGCCATTTTTTCCAGCACTAGTGACTGGGCTTTTCCACATTTCCGACAGCCAACGATGGTGAACCGCGTCCTCCAGGCCCATTCACGACGACTACTCCCACAGAACCCGGCGGTGGCGGCGGTGAGCCAGCAGACGGCGCCTCCTCCACAGCTAGATTGTTGATGGAGAAAGCAGCGCTACTGCCCGTTGCCGAAGCTGTCTGAGTTGCCGACGCCGCAGTGAGTGGTGGGAAGCAGGAAACCACAGTGGCCAACATTGATGAGTGGTCCGCAGTCAAATCGTTATAAGGAATCGAGAGGAAGGCCTGGCGGAGAGTCCTGATTGCTCCGAAAATTTTCACAGCCGGTCCGAGTTTCAACTTCAGAATTGACATGAGGTCGTGCTGTTCCAAGCACAGCAACGCAGCACCATCGACCTCCTAATGCAAATCAAAACGGTGGGCTTTCGAGTCACCAAATGAGTGAATGGATGGGGACGCATTAGAGTGGACCTAAGGCGACTTACGTTTTCAACGAACGTCCGAGCTAAATTTTGACAGCCCGGCAGTGTGGCAATGAAAGACCCAACCATTTCCGCAGTCCAAGCGTGCGGGCCGGGGTAGCCGCCTGCCCTAGTGGCGCTAACTGCCGCCTCGGCCTGTGGAAGCAGCCGACGAATCAGCCCCGCCTCCATAGTGCCGCAAGCAGCAGCCGCTAACTGCGTGGCGGGGATTGGTGGTGGTGGCGGAGGAGACATCAGCGCAGCTGCCGGACCCGCAATCGCACCGTTAATGAAGGGACCGTTGTAGTACTCCATGAGGACCGGAGCTGAGGACTTCAACGTTGTGGTCGACAGAGTAGCAGCAGCGGAAGGAGCCATCTGTGTGGCTGTGTTAGCGGTGCTGCTAGGTATGCCGTTGACTCCATTAGTGTGCCCGTTGAGAAGGGTGGGAGATTGTGACGGATAAGAGATGATTTTGGGGAAGAGGGCGGCGGGAACTGTAGGGGAGTGGAGCTTGTTTGAGACTAAATCGTGGTGTAGCTGCTGGTGATGTGTTTGCTCCGAGGTGGTAGCCCCTACAGCAGACCCGTTGGGTGGATCTTTCACCTCAACACTCCTCACACCAGTAGGTTTATCCGCGTTATTGGACGCAGATATGTAAGCCTTCGAGGGCCGACCAAGACGCGGTTTCTTGGGGTGGTCTAAGACACCCGACCCACTGGAATCACTTGGGAGCAGACCATTAGTTTCAACCGTGGAAAATGATGATGGGAGGCCCAAGCGCGTGTGCGAGGCACCGCCCACTTGTGAAGGAAAGGGGTCGAACGTATACTTTCGCGGGCGCCCTCGCTTTCGCTTGATTTGTGCAGTCGCCGCGGCCACAAACCTCACTTCGGTTGAGCGCTGATGCTGTTCATCCCCGTTGGACGCAGTAGCCGGGGAGAGGGCGGCCTCAGCGCTGGGGGTGGAGGATACTGATGGGGAGGCGGGTAGATCCCTCAATTTTACTTCAGCCGAGGGCTTTGATGCGGAGAATGAGGGATCATGCGACTCACCTTTGTGTTGCACAGGTATAAGACCGATTTCAGATGAGTTCATCATCCCGTCTGGACTGTTTTTGGGAGAAAGTAGAAGCAGACAGTAGTCAAGAGTGTAAACATAATTATATTAAGAATGTTCGCTTTAATTTCGCTCACACACCTCGCGCACGCAGACACAATATGTGTGCGTACGCGTTCGTGCATGTCCGAATGGAAATAGTCCGCTGATTGGTGGAATTCGTCATTTATATTAGCATTGATCTAAATTGTACGTAAATAAATTGCCTTTGAAATTTCATTTCAAAAGTTAATTTGAGCGACCAAATGATATAGCGATAATTGCCGACAAGCATAATTTAATGCGCAAAATTCATTCAATAGGGCATTTGTAATATTATAGGAATAATCACGCTGGGAAGCCCATTAAAGCTTAAATAAGCCTGACACTTAAGGAAACCAAACCTATTCTGAGATTTTGCACGACTCATCATCCCAAAATCTAGTAGTAAATAAAAAATACTATTATTTCCATACGATTAGTGGGTAATACCAGGACATCCAAATGGAAGCTAAAAAATATATGTAGATCCGAAAGTTCGCTTGTGTGATAGCAACGCAAAAACTTTGTAACGAAGGGGAAAATCAAGGCACCCCAACAATGAGGCCGTCTATTGTAAACACGCGTACCATTTAAATCAACTTGAGATGACTATACACCTGTGTACGTACTCCTAAAAAGCGGAAAACGCACGAACCAGTAACCTGTTTTGGCAACTTCGCTTAGTTTTTGCAAGAAAAATCTCCACATACTTAATACCGCTTTATTGGAAGGTCATCGCGCGAAAACTGAGTAAATAAACGCAATTTAGCTGTATCAAATCACAATGGAAAGTTGCTGTGATATAGTAAGCAATCAGAAAAAATAATCATAGTATGTCTCGCCCAATGACATGCAAAACTATGGATAAAAAAAGAACCTGCAAATTCGACCCGAGATAATATCACAACAAACACCTAGCATTACAGCCTCACGGAATCGATGTACAGTTCACCCCATAATTAATATTTAAATGAGAATAAAATTAAAATGCCTAAATTATTCCCAAGAAAGAAAAAGTAGTAAGGTTCGCCAAAAATCAAAGGGATTTAGCCCAAGTATGCTCGTTATTGTGTTCGATATAAAGTAGATCTTGAGGTACAACTAGCGGAATTGCTGGAAACAAAGCAATACAAAATGTACTAGGCATGTCCAAATTCAAATTTACCTTTCCTTTTTTACTGTTCTCGGCGATCTATCTGTAATAAAAAAGCAGGCCGTCAGGAATGTCGCAGCAAAGTGGCGGATTAAAAGTGGTTTCAATTTACTCGTCACAATTGAACAAAATTCACTAAATATAATTTCAGTTTATGGCGGTGTGCGTGTGTGCACATCACAAGGTCGCGTGCGTGTGTGTGTGCACTGGTGCGTGCGTGCTGGCGCACGTTTGGCACACTCGCGTGTGTGCACGCTCTAACGCATTCACGCACGTACGCACGCGCGTCGACTCGAAAGTGCAGGCTAAAAATCAATCAACGTCCGCACGTCAGCCGCTGATTGGACGTAGTTCAATGCGTGGTGCGCACAGCTCACACGATAACTGCAGAATAAGTTGACCAATCAAAAATTAGTGCATGAATGAAAGCAAAATTCTGGTGGGCTTAAAAAAAAATAATATACACGCACCCACACGACCTAATAACCGACCAGTAGGTATACGACAGAGCGGTCGGGATTCCTAAGAAAATTTTGAAAAAAATTACCAATAAGAAGCAAGTGAGCCCAACATGCCGGAAGGGTATTTGGTAAAACAGTTACTCGTCGAGTACAATGTGTAGGCCCAACGAGCACGGTGAAGCAGAACCCAGCGAAAACGATCAAGTCAACGAGGATGAGATCTACTCAGATTAAGAAGCGATTGAACGTCTGTTTAGTCCAACTTTAAGTCATCAAGCACCTTTCTTATTGGCTGACTTAATCCTGTGGCCTGATACAAGATAATTTTCACGTGAAAAAAAGAACGTGGCCAAATGCAAGATTCTGCAGATAGCAAAATTTCATTTTAGCCACGCTCCTGATCACTAATCCCAGGGTCCAAAGAATATTTAGGATTTCGCGAAACTCACCCAAGATCTTTGACTCTAAAAAGTCCTTCAAATAAATCATAAAATGGTGGGTATTTTGGTTGTAATGGCAAGCATTTAAAACCGGCCTGAAAACCACCGATGGGAAAAATTTACTGGATTTCTAAACAACTTCGTGGCTGGTAGTTTAGACAAGATCCGTTGACCAAATTAACCTGCATACAAGTGGAAAAGTAATTTGGCCGTAATATAAAATGCCTAACATTGCTGATGATGAATGCAATAATTGCCTTGGCAACGAGGAAAGTTAAAGGTAAAAAAATGAAAAGTAACCGTTATTTTTCAATAAGTCACCGATTATAAATCCAAGTGCTATGGCGAAGATTTATTCTCATTCAAACAAAGTTAGCGAACGATCGACGGTTTTGCTTGGACAAGCGTTAGCGCTCGCTTGGGAAAATAAATTTTCTGATTGGTTGAGCTGACTTCTAAGGAGGATTTTTGGTTAAAGGTCCACTCGTGCGTAAGTTTAAGTAGTTGCAGAAAAATACATAAACTATGCATGAGTGCTGTTTATGTGCTTTTAGTAACGTATTTTGCCGGTAGAAACTTAATTACCACAATGGTTGGTGGACCAAAAAAGTCGAAAAGGATAAACAAAAGCTTGAAGCAGCCTTGCACCATTACTTTTCGATTCCAAAATATATAGTGCGATGTCCAACTGGAAAATTACATTTCTTGTGAAAAAACCTGAACTTGAAAATTTAGGCAACCTCCTGCTAAAAACACTGACACCAAGTACATACATAAGCAGCAAAACCGTGATCTCACGGTTACACTCTTGTAATGTTTTGCCTAAATTGCTGCGAAATCTTCCTAACTGCATGGAGAAGATCGAGTTTGGTTTCCATATCCCCAAATCTACCACACTTAAAAATGCACATCTAATCTATGTATGCGTGGACTTCTTAAGCAAGTATATCCAGACTTGTGCCGTAACAATAAAATTAATAGGGGGAGTGCTGTTCATATTTTCGGATACAACTAATGCGTAAAATTCAAAATAACTAAAACGAAAGTAGCATTATAAGTTGTAAAACCTGCGTTTTATTGAACAAAAGGCTCTGCCAGCTTGCACAACACTAGTGAAGCATCACCCAGACAGACCCCCGACCTACAGAACTTGCCAACCCAAATCTGGACTGACGTGGATTTATTCCTCAATCCGTCAACCCCGATTATTAAAATGAGTCATAAACCAGTCAAAGACAACCGCGCGTAGTGTGCGCGCGTTTAATTGTATCAGCCAATGGAAATTCACCTCGTGGTGGTGACTCAGACACGCTTGTGAAGGTTGGACACATAAAGCCCTTTGTTAAAAAAAAATAATAATAAACTGCAGCCAGCTCGAGTCACAAAAATACAATTTCATTTGGCTTACCCGTTATCAAGAGATTGGTGTCAATTTTACGAAAGTAATAACTATAACGCAATTAAAAATAGTAAAAACGAAAAAAAACACCGAGAACAGATAATAGACCTAGGGGGATAAAGTTTAGTATTTGAGCGAGGCACCCTGCAAAGGTATTTGGATGGGTGAATATCGTACTAACGAATTAAAAAGGCGCAATGCCATGTTGGCAACAATGACTGAAAAGAATCATGCGCGCACGCAAATTTCACACACAAATTAACAAAAAAGTGGAACAAGTCTTTGGACCAATAAAAAAATGCAGTTTATGCTGGCGAATTGAGGTGCGCCTTGCCTATTTCACCGAAAGGATAAATTATACGCACGTATGCACAATTGGATAGATCCGACAATTGACTTCCAAGTCATGTACAAAGAAAATCAACTCCGCACTTCTTTCCCGAACACTTCTTCCGATCACAGGGGCCAAGGGGGAATAGCAACAATCACTGAACCACAGATCGCATTTAGAGCAGGCTAATTTTCGGCAATGAGAGTGAGCTGAATAAAAGGCGGGAATGATAACGAAGTCGAAAGAACAAATTACAGAGTGCGCGTTCGCGTGCAAATGAATAATGCAGTCAAATTGAAGGGAAATCGGATTAGGCGGGGGACACCAACCGATACCAACAAGAAAATCAGTAAATTCACGTTCATTCTCTATTGACATTGTGCAATCCGCATAAGGCTCAATCGTACATTTAACGGGAAAAACGTCAACAAACTGAAGTGGGAAGTGGGCAAATCGCCATCAATTGCTTCTACTCATGTAAAATAACTACGTAAAAGAGCTCTTACGGCTGTGTCGATCCACCCAAACACCGCTTACACTAGAAGGAATTCATCCCAATCGTCTGCAAATTAGTCTTGGCACCAGCCGCCAAATGCGAAAGGAACCCGGTTGAAGCTGTATGCATTCGGAATTGGCAGTGATCAACGGGGTCATTAGTGCACAGATGCAACAATTTAGCACTTGATAAGTATTTAGTAAGGCAACTGCATTACTAAATGGTAATGGTTCCACGCATCACCTTACAGTGCCAAAGAAAGCACTACTGGAATACTAGATAGATCTCCCCCTTTTCTGATTATATGCACACTCAGTAAATCGCTCTTAAATTGTTTATTTTACGACTGAGCATGATCCGACTGGCCAATCAGAATTCGAAAGAGCACGAAACACAACGCTGGCATAACTATTTAAATTTCCAGTTTTGCAAAAAAGGCTTTATTCACGAACGCAAAATTATGAGGCTTCATCCCACACCTAAGCTGACCATCAATTCAAACAACATTGAGCGAAAGAGTGGGGGTTTGGCGATGGTTTCCACTTGCCAATGCACTTTTTCTTGGCCTCACACACATGCACGCGCAGAGAGGACTCCACCGAGGCTGGAGCCTACCCCTGACTTGTCTCATCCGCAAACGGTCGCCTCCCTTAGTGGGGATGTAAGAAAGGGAATCAAAGTATTTACTAATTCGCATCCCCACAGTTTGCGGAACAAACGCTTTACTACTTCGGAGGCCCGTGCGAACGCGTGGTGAAATGCAATTAAGGAACTCTGTGTGAAATTTTCATGCATTCATCAAAAAAAAAAACCTTCAATGGAGGCAACAAGTTTACGCCATTCATTTTTAAAAGAACTACAAAGGACACTGTGATAAAATTGAATTAACATTAGTGGAAAATCTATGGTTTGGGATTCGAAAAAAAAGATATGGGGTAAATAGACGATGGACAGATATGAAAAAGAAATTTAGCTATCATCTTCTTTAAGGAAAAAAGGAAAAACGACCCACCTAATCATGAACAGAAAAATTGAACTTCCAGGTCATATAACATTTTATTTAAAATTAAGAGGTGGTCATACATGCCTATTCATTTGATTATAATTAGCTGGTTCTACTTAATTTCTATTAAAGGTAATTACTAGCTGAAATACGCAGCAATCAAAATACACAGGTACTCGTTCGGGAAGTTGCAGAGTGAAGCAGGGGGCAGTTAGCAGACGAGGGGATGATATGCTAAGCTGAAATTTTACACTTATATGCCAACCAAATGGAGATCAACAGGCCACATAACTCACTGTCGGGAAACACGAGACAAAAGGAGGAATTAGAGTCACGATGTGAGACTGAGATGTGCGCACAGGAGGTGACCCACTGTCACAAATATTCATTAGCCGATGGCATGGGGTGGCCGCGGCCATAGCCAATAGGACTCATCCGTCTCGACGATCACGTGGGTCCTGGCGACACGCACGCACGCACACTCACACATTGCGTGACGCACACAGACAGCGGGCGAGCTAAGCGTTGCGATCGATTGAATGACGTGTCACAGATGTCCCCTAAACTGCCGTCCTCTCTCACCCGCTTCTTTAGCCCAGCTCAGGCCACACCAATGTCCTGCTGCAAAACTCAAACGTGCAGCATTACCCCCAGACAGTGTAATGCGATCAACAATTGGGGACGTCGGAAACAACGACTTGACCAGATGGGTCGTGATAAAATGAATTTGCCTTCAGAGAAAAAAAAGGCTCCTTAATTTACATTTGACAGAAACCAATTATCAGCCGAAAATTGTCTATTTACTCCAATTGAGTATTAACTGTTGAGTGTGGCTTTGAGTAAAACATACTAAAAACACTAAAAAGTCATTTTTTTTAAGAGTTGCTCGAGAGCCAAATTTATAAAATACAACTTTGAGATGATGGTAAAAGTACCGTTCTTTTCCTCTTGACAGACAGTTCTACCAATTGGTGAGGCGTCAGATGACTCCGAGATGTCACTTTTGCATGGAAGTGACAAGGCTGTGTTCCACCACCTACCAGGGAAATGTGCTTCGGTTAACTCAAACCTAAGCAGTTTGTTCTACATGCGTACTTAGTTCACTTCGAGTATGCTCTTGGCTCGGCTCAAACACTGGACATGGTGCCGTTCTAGCAACACAAACGATGCATTTATTAGGATCTTATTAAAATTAGTAATTAAAACGCTTTTAATCAATTATTGAAAAAATTTCGTTCATTGCCATTAATGAATATTTTAAGGTCCGAGTTTATCGCAATGTTAAATTGGATCCAAAAATGCAACATATTAACATGGGGATTATGCTGGAAGATATTGATGCCACAAAATCACTTTTGACACGTTGATGCACTGGGCTAGCTAAAATTAAGACTGCAGTCATAAAATAAACGGTAAGACATTTTATGTGGCTTAGTGAAGAAACTTGATGCCTCGTTTACTTCACATGAATCGGTATGTACTTTTGTAACCCTTCCAAATTAAAAGCAGTAGTAGATCTTCCAAATTTACAGGATGAATGAAATGTCTGAAGTGCTCAATGATGGCAGTAAAAAGTTTGCGTTTCCCACTTTGGTTATTCTATACAAACTAGGGTAATTATGTTCAGGATCTGAGAGCCTACTTCTATGATTATCAGAGGACTATTACTGTTCATGAATTCCTTATTCATGTGTTACCAGCAAACAAGGCATACTTCACGAGTCTAAATATGAATATGCAACTGCAAATTAATCATTTAAGCAAATTTTTGACGCAAAAAAGATGAAGAAATTTATTGCGATGGCCCACAAACTTCGAGACAATTTTAATGAATAGATATCCATTAGCAGGAATTTCCTAAATTTACTTTTGACAATATTTGCAGCTTTATCTAAAGGATACACCTTTTTGAAAATTAATTCAGGAATTCATACATCTGGACAGGATTCAAACGATTTGATCTAACCTACCCTCTTTACGCACAGCAATTTATTTTTGTTTGTTGAGTTTCTCAAATATTGTGACGAAGTCAGGCTTATTTCCAGGTTATTTACGTAAAAAATAAAACTCACATAGCCATCTGAGTGTAGACAGGTTGGTAGTCAGAATATTGCCGGTATTTTTTAAGGATTTTGGCTTCAAGGCTGGAAATGACCTTGATAAACCGGACCAATAATAGTTCGCGGCTAATTGCGTTGGCCGATGGGTTAATTATTTCTAGATATGGCACCTGTCAAACCTGAGGGGGCTAATAGTGGATTAATCATATTTTCCAAAAGAAAAGTGAAGGTTAGCTCTAAACCTCCTTAAAAATAATTTTTGAATCTTTGAGTACTTTTGAATGAACAGCTTGCATTTCGTCCCCTCATTTCAAAGCAAACACAATTCCTCTTACCCCTGCGTAAAGGGGGCTACAATAAATAAAAACGCACAATTAAAAAGATCATGAAAAGGGGAAAAATGCAACCATGAGAAGAGAAGTACTGACTAACGAAATGTGCTTGGAAATTTGGTGGAGTTCCATTCACCTGTTTCGGAGGCAACACAATGCCTTGTAGTTTAAACAACTTACCCTGTTTTAACGAGAAATATTGGACAGTGGATTGTTATGCTTACGCTCAAAGGAATAAGTGATGAGAGAAAAAGAGATGTGCTACCTCACATCTATAAGGCAATTGCGTTGTGCTTCGCGACGATCTGTAAGCTGGTCATTAATAATGAATAGCTGTGGAAATACTATCGCAAAATGTTTAGACGCAAAAAGGTGTTAATACTTCCCAAACCATACGCACTTTTTGTCTTAGTGACTTGTAGTTTTTGGGGGCTTTTGAATTGCGGTTTTTTATGCATAAATCACGTACAGGTGAGAACACTTCCAGCACCTTATTTATACTTTAAAGTAGATGTACAAAAATTGTATTTAACTTGAGTTTAGCTATATCCGCCAATTCCAAGTATAGATTGGACACCCAAACTCATAAAATTGCCCCAAAACGGCAATTTTATTGTGGGTTTCTGTAGATAGAGGCAAGCATGTTGCTACTTTTAATCAAATCGCAATTCCATAATTATATGCAAAATCAAATTTCGATCTAATTTTAAGTTCCAAACGAACCGAAACAATCGAACCAATGTAATTTTGTGAGAAACAATTGCCGTTAGGTTTTGCTGTGATTAATAGCTTAAAAGCCATAAAAATTAGAGGAAAAAGGTTCTATTAACATCTTCAAATTCCACAATTTTTTAAAATCATCCGCGTCTCGATGCCTAAACTACTGACCAAACTTACGCAGAAAATTATGAATCTTTCCATCTCTTCACACCACAGACTGAATGTAACAGAACTCATATGCCCCTCCTGGATCGCAGGTCAGTTTTTAACATAAGGAGAGCGAAAATGACAATTCAATGCATGTGGCAAACGAAATTGAAATTAATTTATAGTTTACTATTTTATCGAGAAAAGTGCTAGTTGGTTGCCAGACCATCTAGCACTTTTTTCTTTAACTACACAAGCTTATGGGGCTTTGGAGGGTCTGCATGGAGGTACCAGATTTCCGAAATTCCTCTCTTTCTGAAAACCAGGCACACTGCGCCATCAGGTTATGTCGTGAACTAGCTAGACGCCAAAAAAATCAATTGATTGACAACAAAAGCTGATGGAAATGGAAAATTTTGGTGTCAACTTCCTGTCCCTGACCCCTGGAGTCACTCGGACCCTTTTAATTAGGCTGCGGCTTTAATTACAATGCTATCATTGGGGGGAGTAAACCTACCTGACACTTCAGCTCAATAGTGTTCTTATTAGAAAAAACATTCTATAAATAGGTGGGATTAAATGTAACGACTTTGGTTGAACGGAGTGGCATGATGTAGAAGACGGAAATGTTGCTGATTTCTGCTAAGAACATTGGTGCTATTTTATTGGCTGCAACAAGTCTATTTAATAGGTAAATCCATTAAAATGATACCTGTATACCTCAAATTTATTGGAAATTTAGAAAATGCATAAGTAACTGCAATGAATGGCTCACCTGCATCGGCACACTAACCAACTCAAGGTATAAAGTGATAGAGGTTACGGATCTTTAGTAGATCAATTTATCTCACACTCCTTACTAGCTACCATATAAAATTAAAAAAAATTAATCAACAGTGTAGGCTAAGGTGTGATCGTGTGCATCCCAACTTGGTTTACATGCATCGTTGCATAACACGTGATCCGATTGATTCGCCTCTGCCTAAAATGCAATAAAATAAAAAAAAAGAGAAATTAGCTACTCCATCCAAATCAAAGTGGTAAGAAGAAGTTTATCTCATTCCTTTTTGCTAAAAATAACAAGGATAATTTTCACCTACAAAAAGCTAAATGCGCACATGCAGCCAGTTGAATAAATAAACGAAAAGGAAAACTAACAGAACCAGCTACAGAAAAACCATAAGAACACGCGAGCACCTAAGTTCGGTAAGAATTTCAACTGGCCTTTTTGCAGATGATGCTGAAGGCGAAGCCACGAATTTGTCAAGGCACCAATCGATATCTTAGCCGCGTTCGTCCACAAAGGCGACCGCAGAGTCCCCCAAGTTGCATCGATTGGCCATCGATTTTACCTACATGAGCTTGGGAATGGCGACTGTGGATGAGCTGCGTGCACTCTGGAAATGCGGCGGATGGCGAATGACAACAAACAAATATCACAATTTTTTTGGAAGACTAACAGAGTTTGCTTATTTACTTATTTGCATGTTTGTTAACTATAGTGTAATCCTGTATGATGATTCTTGATGACCGCTTTAAAAGTCTCCTGAATATTCTTTGGGACCACTTAAATGATAAACAAATATGCTGCTGTGTAGCTTAGAAAAGGCTAGAATATTATTATAATATAAAAATAATGTTTCTAGGTTGGTACCAAAATGGACTGAAGATTTTTCGGAAGTAATAAAGTGGTGTAATTTATTGTTCCCTCACAGAGCATAAGCAGGTTCATTCAAAGAAATTTAAAAAGAATGAAAAGAAGCACTAAATAGCAAAAAAATCTTACCATCAAATATATTCAGGCTCAGCAGTGGTTGTTGCAATGAAATGACCAATG